TTTGTTACAGTTTCGAGTCCAAAGCTCCTCACCTTCTCAATCTTCTCTTAATTCACCGCCACATTTGTGCCATCCTGAAGAGCATTCTGCATTGCTTGGTTTCAAAAGCACTACTAATATGGTGGAAGACTGTTTTTTTACTCCTCGTCCTATAATACAAACTTGGAACGAGAGAAAAGACTGCTGCTTGTGGGAGGGCATCACATGCGACAAGGTGAAAGGTCACGTGATTGGCCTTGATCTCAGCTGGAATTGTATTGAAGCCAATCTAACTTCAAATAGTAGTCTCTTCTTCCTTGAGAAATTGCAGAGTCTCGACCTTTCTGGCAATTATTTTCATTATCCTAACATCTCATTAGGGTTCGACCGTTGGAAGAGTTTGACATATCTTAATCTTTCATGTACGAGATTTTATTTCTTTACTTTTATTTTTTATTTTTTTAAATCTCCATGCTTTTGAAACCGGTTTCACTTCTTCTAATGTGACAAATCTTTAACCTTGCAGATCCAGTATACATGGATGGCTCTCTCCCGTTTGATGAGATCTTCCTGCTACCGAAATTGATTTCACTCGATCTCTCCCATAATGATGGTTTGCTTCTTGACAACATAAAGTTTCAAATGCTTGTGCATAACTTAACAAAATTAAGGTTTCTTATCCTTGATTTTGTGAATATGTCTCTGGTTGTGCCTTCTTCATTGCTAAACTTCACTTCTTCCTTGGAGCATTTGAGCCTTCGCTCTTGTAATTTGCAAAGAAACTTTCCAAGTCAAGTTTTACCGTTGACGAAATTGATCTCACTCGATCTCTCTGGTAATGATGATTTACTTCTTGACAACATAAAGTTTCAAATGCTTGTGCATAACTTAACAGAATTAAGGTTTCTTATCCTTGATTTTGTGAATATGTCTCTAATTGTGCCTTCTTCCTTGCTAAACTTGACTTCTTCCTTGGAGCATTTGAGCCTTCGCTTTTGTAATTTGCAAGGAAACTTTCTAAGCCAAGTTTTTCAGCTTCCATCTCTCCAGTTTCTTGATTTAAGCTACAACTATCATTTAAGAGGTAATTTACCTGAGTCAAGCCCAAGTAATACCCTCGAGTATCTGAATCTTGATTATTGCCAATTTTATGGATCAACTCCAGATGTTTTTGGAAAAATGCAAAAACTAACTCATTTGAGCCTTTTAGCTAATAGTTTTGATGGTGAAATTCCTACATCAATCTTCAACCTCACTAATCTTACTTATTTGAGACTGTCATCAAATAAGCTAAGAGGGCCTCTTCCTCGCAATATAAGTGGACTCTCATTTTTAGATGAGTTTGGAATGGATAATAATTTCATCACAGGTCCTATACCATCTTGGTTGTTTTCTTTGCCTTCTTTATCCCATTTAGACCTCCAAAACAACAGACTTACCGAACCTATTGATCATGTTGAGATGCCTAATCTCATTTTACAAGAAGTCTATTTGTCCAATAATGGGATAAGTGGTTCATTTCCTAGCTCTTTCTTTCATCTTGTGAATCTTGCCGTGGTCGATCTTTCTTCAAATAATTTAAGTGGCACCATTACAGCCAACATGCTTTCAAAACTTGTTAACCTTCGGGATCTGGATCTTTCCAATAACAATTTGTTGTCTTTGAGCAATAATAGCACTGGTGTCAACTATTCCTTTCCGAACCTCTCGTCTTTAAAATTCTCTTCTTGCAACATACACAAGTTCCCAAGTTTCTTAAGGAAGGTAGAGAGATTGAAAGTATTGGATATTTCTAAGAACAAGATTTTTGGTCAAATTCACAAATGGGAAATCGAAGGGATGTCATTGGCCAGTTTAAACCTTTCTTATAACTTTTTGACCGGTATAGATTTGTTTGCTTTTGAAAAGCTTACCCGAGTTGACCTCAGTTCCAACTTAGTACAAGGATCACTTCCCATTCTATCAACAACTTGGGATTTTAGGCATCTCATCATTTCAGGGAATAATTTGACTGGCGAAATCCCTTCTTCTTATTGCAATTTGACTTCTCTTAATGTTCTAAACTTAGCTAAGAATAATTTGGGAGGAAAAATTCCAGAATGTCTTGGAAACTTTAGTTTTCTCTACATCTTGGATTTGCAGATGAATAAGTTTCATGGTATAATACCAAATTCTTTTGTCGACGAGAGTCAACTAATGACTCTTAACCTAAATGGCAACCAGTTGGAGGGGATACTGCCACGGACTTTGGGCTATTGCAGATTATTGCAAGTTCTTGATGTGGGGAACAACTGCTTGAATGACACCTTTCCACATTGGTTAGGTGTTCTTTCAGAGCTAAAAGTTCTCATCCTTCAATCCAATCGATTTCATGGTGCCATTTACAACTCTACAGCTGAATTTTACTTCCCTGAGTTGAGAATCATTGATGTCTCGCATAATGACTTCACGGGTCTCCTGCCGAGTAGCTATTTCAAAAATTTGACAGGTATGAGAGATGTACATGAAGAGGAAGGTGAATTGAAATATATGGGTGCATATTTTGGTGCCAGTTTTTTAAGGCTTATTTATCTCGGTTACTATGATTCTGTGACGGTAATACTGAAAGGTTCATACGTGGAGCTGACGAGAATCCCGATGGCTTTCTCAACTGTTGATTTCTCAAGTAATAGATTCCATGGACACATTC